AGAGAGTGAAAGAGCAAGAATGCCATTTGAAGGCAGACAGCTTTCATGTCAGTCAAATGTGTCATAACTATGCTACTGAGGCAGATTCAAACATTGTAAACTTAAAACAAACAGAAGTCCTCTAGGGATCAGGGTGAATACCTATGATGTTATTAGATAGAAAAACTTGTGTTCTATGAGCAGGCTAACTGCACTTCTTGCCACATGCCAGCACATTTTCTGTCTATCAGATAGACTTGGCACTGAGCATGAATGGACTTTCCCTGAGCACTTCCAGTGGCTAAGACTCCTCCTTTAACTTCTCCCAGCACCTGCCCCCATCTCAAATATTTGTATATATTCGTGCCACCTAAAGCAAAGCTGCTGGTGATGTTCAAAGCACCCATCCTGATTTTTTGCCTAACCTAACAGCTTATGTTGTTACATAAGCATATGCAGCCATTTCTGATAGCACAGGCTCAGGCAGAGCAGCTCTAGGCTCAGGTGTAGGAAGTGACTATCAGTGTTCATACCTGTGCAGCCCCATCAAGCATGGGCAGCCAGTGAAATCAGTGGCATTTCATACAAAGTTATCAGCCTGGAATATAATTCACAGTGAACACCAGTGTGTAACAGTCCTCATCTCCTTCCTCATTTCTTAATCTTACAGCGCAAAACTCAATATTGACATCCTCACTTGCTACAAAGTACTCCCCTGTTCCTCAGTTATCCAAACAATCTTTCAGTCCATTCCAAGCACTGGACAAATGATTTATCAAAATTTAAGTAACAAAGCCATTAGTTCAAAAAGCTCAAATGCTTAATCTTCAGTGACGCAGAACAGAAAAAAAAAAAGTTAGCACTCTGAAAGTCTTTAGAATCCAAAATCTTCACAACCTGTGTAGAAACTCCAGTACTTTTCCATTACAGGGGATGGAAGAAACTCCTCTTTACGTACCATTACTATCTGATTGAGTTGAAGAAAACGTGCCAGGCTTTCCACTGAGTTGAACTGGACAGAAGAACCTGTTGAAAATTAATTCAAATGATTATCAGAGTATATCAGAGTATGTGTCTCTTGCACCCAGACTTCAGTGAGACAAAGACCCTACCACACTTTGTGGTAGTCAGAGTGAGAAGTCAACCATCCTGGCCATGCCCAATTACATTAATAGGAATACCAAAATAGCTTTTTTTCCCCCATAAATCTGGGGAAGACAGAAGTTGCCTCTTGGTACTTTCCCCATCCTGCTTGCCAAGAGCTCTTCTGTCCTTGCTGGTATCTAATTTAGCCTTATAGTTTCAAAATAATTCCAGATGTGTTTCAACTTGTGTTTCACTTTTGTTACAGGTTTACAAGACCTAGTTTCTGTGGCTGCTAAGAACCTGAAAACTGTATTTAAGGAGAATTCCTGGTAGTAATGCAACTATATAAATGTATATAAATGTAGAAGTTCCTGTTGCATAAAGGCTAAGTCACTTCTGTGAAGAGTCACCATTTTCTGATCATTAAGATAGCCCCATAAACATCAGTTTTTAAAAATGGCTATCCCACTACTATCATCCTTATTTTTTCCAAGCAAGAAACTGCTGGAAATATCCAGAGACATGGCTAAGCATATTAAAACTATTTCACTTGTGCAAATTTTTTGTAAAAGGAATTAAAATGCTCTTGCAGCTTAAGCAACATATTTGAGTCAATTTGCAGGTATCACGAAATCAATACTTCTGTAAAACAGGTAAAAATAATTATCACATCTAAGGAAAAGCCAAACTGATTTGCGGTATCCATGGCAAAGTCACAGGAGACAGTTATTTCTCTGACTCTGATGGATCTGGTTCAATGCAACTAGTCTAGACGTGGGCTACAGATGCATAAGCAAAGATCTAAGAACAACAGACTTAAAGGTGACAGCATTTGATCTGGAGTGCCACAAAGGAGTATTTAGAAGAAAAATATTTAAGAGCTTTCAAGTTTCTTGGGCCACACTACTCTCAGTAACTTAGAAACAGAAGATCAGTCACAATCCAAGAGTCCCAACATCTACTGCCCATTCAGACCAAGTAAGGCCTTGGAAATGACAGCCAGTGGCTTGCATGAACAATGTTTTGGATCCTCTGGCTCTTTAAAAGGCTGTTATGGAATTGAGGCACATGAATTCTGCCCATGATAGTGGTAATTTTGAAAATAACTTTTATTTCAGCTAATCAAGTCCTGGAATCTTGGAAAAAGATGTCTATGGACAGGTTGTGATTTCAAGACCAGATCTTTCTCTGACAAAATACAATGATTTCCTTATAATTTTTAATTCCCTCTCTGTCCTCAAAATGCTTTTGCTTTTCTTCAGGTCTCTCTACAATTCTGGATTCACTTCACACAATACAGTTTTAATATTTTTTTTCCTCCTGTGAATGTTGGAGTCCAAGTCTCTGTCTTTACAAACCAATCAGTAAGGAGTGATACCTTTCTAACAGTCAGAAGTACCACGTCAGCCATAGAGCTGAAGTTATGATGTCCATCCCCTAAAAGATACAGGTCAGCAGAGTTTTTGTCTAATTGCTGTATGATCCACTGTGTCCACCTCCATCCTGGTTTTGAAAGTATTTTTTCCCCAAGAATTAATTTATCAAATGATCCTAAATTATGCATGCTACATTTTTTTGCATTGGTAGTTAAGACCCTTTGAAAAAAAATAAATAGTCGAAGGATAAATAAATAATTTCCATTTGGAAACTACCTAATGGACTGTAATGACCACACACTTTATAGAACAGCTGTAACAGTTCCAGAAGGGCTTACAGCACCTTCTGATAGTCTCTTAGCCTGCAGTTCTTTCCTTTGCATATCAGACACCAGTCACCCCGGATCATCTGTAGGTTCAATTCAGCATTTTCCTATAACTAGGATTTGTACAGCAATAATGTGGAACTTAATTCATACTTTCCCAATTCGTTATTCTATTCTGTTGCTTCTAGAGAAATGCCAGATTTGAGGAAGTATAACTTCTTTCTCCACTGAATTAGAAATAGTATTCCTCAGAAGTTCATTCTTTCTTTTTATCCAGCATTGAGACTGGCAAAAGCAATGTCATAACGCAGAAAAAAGATATTAGGTATCTAGAATAATTCTTCTTTGAAAGTATTTAATAGGAGTGGCCTTTATTCTTACACTGTATCTGCATGGAATAAAGGGCTTGCAGGTATTATTAGAGATCAAGAATTAAGGCTTTTAATTCTAAAACATCAGTTTTGAGGTTAATTCTGAAGTCTCTTTAATTATTTTACGTTTAATGTGGCAGTATTTTTCCCACAACACAGACCTAAGGAGGTTATACTTTTATTAAGGGATACAGTTAACACCAAATCCGTCTGTTTCTAAATGTCTGAAAAAATTACAATATTAATAATGCTTTATAGCTTTTTTGCAAGCATTGCCTAGATAAGTGATAGAAATACAAGATATTATTCCCCATTAAAACTTCTGCTTCCATCATAATTTTACATGGTAACTGATTTTTCTGTTCTCCTACATACATTGGGTATATGCTTCTTAGCCTGTATCACATTCTTTATGTGATATGACACATTCCAAATTATTATTCATCAAGGTCCTTGGAGTGGTGTATTAAGACATCATTAAATTTTTTGTTTAGCAATGTGGGGTACCCAGAATCTTCAAACTATTACAGAAATCCATCAATGTTACAATAACCTATCAGGGAAACAAGAGAACAAATTCAATCTCAGTGGCTCTTATCTTCTTTAAGTATAGCTGTAATGTGATTTTTTCTCCTCAAAGGTTGAGTGAGGCATAACTGGCATAAATGCAAACATCAACCAGGAAGTGCATGCAGCCTCCCATGAAAGAATCTATATTCAAGACTTAATTTATAAATAAATAAATATAATAAGTTCTTATAAAATAAAACACTATGGCTGATTTTGATTTCTCACAAAAATACTTTATACAGATGGCCTTTCAGTTTCTGGATCAAGTCAACCACTCAATTTGAATATCAAATTATTGAATTCAAGTTCATCAATAACAAAGGCATACACTAGAATTCTTTATTAAAACACACTATGATTGCTTTAAAATTATACATAAGAGAATATTTTTTGGTATGACTAGCAATGTGTAGGTTACCACCATACATCCATTTCTTATCTGCTATTTAGACTACTTGATTATATAATGATTCACTTGTATACTCACTTGGAAGGAAAATGCATGGTTCTATAAAATGATTTCTAACCTCTTCAGAAAACCTGAATTTAATATGCCAAGATAGTGGATATAAAGTAGCTCCAGGGCCAACCTCAGGTAATTAAAAACAGAATACTTTAAAATTCTTGCAGTTCATAGCACACTGAGATGCAAACTGGAAGAAATAGTATACAAAGTACAAATGAAGTCTCAGCTCAGGTCAGAACATATCTTTGATAGAAAAACTAATAGCTCAGTTTTTTTCATGTACTGCCAAAATCTACAGGAGCTCTGACTCATTCAGTGGGTTTTATGCACAGCCTCAGAACAACTTCTAGAGGCTTCTCCTAGGCTATTGTTGTGTGGTGATTTAAAGACAGATTGTTTTGTTTAGAAGCTTTGTCCAATCTTTAGTAACCCCTGGAAAAAAAAAATAAAAAAAAGGAAAAAAAGAAAAAAGAAAAAAAAAAGTAGGGGTGTGTTATCTGAACACTCACCAAGGCAAAATCCTCAGGCAGTCTCCTAATTGAACGTTACCAGTGTGGTGTCAAAAAAGTCTGCCTTCTGCTTCAAGCAACACAGTAGTTGAAGCCACTGCCTCTTGAAGCTTTCTGTTTATCATATTGCCTTTATTTACTGCTTGTGTAAGTTAAGACAAGATACATTTGTTCTAGGTAGACTATCTACAACTGTTTTGTTTGACTTGGTCTTCTCTCGGTCTCCATGGGACCACCAAAGCAGATAAAAGTCTTATAGCGCAGTTGATTAATTAAGATGGGTCAGTTATCAAAGGATTTATTTTACAACTTATTTCACAAAGCAAAAAAGCCAGAAAGCCAGCATTTACAACTCTTCGCTAGGAGCCAGTTATTTACTTTTAGGCAGGCTTCTCAAGGAAAAAAGGTTTACATATGCAACAACAAAAAAAAAGTCAATGATCACAAGTTTTAACAAGCAACAGTCCAACTAGATATATGGGGAAAAAATTCACCACAAGCATGGTCAAGCACAGGAATATGTTGTACAGAAATGTGGAATGTCCATCCTTGAAGATATTAAGAATTTGACTTGGACAAGGAACTGACAGCCTTAAGTATCTTGAAAATTACTCCTACTTTTAACAAGAGGTTGGACTGAAGACCTCCCGGGGCCCCACCTAATCTACATTAAGTCTATGGTTCTGTGCAATCACACTGTCATCTAGTTAATTTTTAACTGATTTGCCAGTTTCAGAAAAACCTGGGTGACAGGTTGGCTTCCATGGCATGTAGTCCTTGAAAGCTGCTTTCCCCTCCCATTCCTTTTAGGCCTCTGAAAGAGTGAATTTTGTTTGAGTCTTGCTAGCCATATAGCTCAACGCCGAGTCAGTCCTGTGACATTTTTACCTTCTACCTTGCTGACAGGCAGGTAAGAGCAGATAGAGGATTTTGGAAAGGAGCAGTGTGTAGATCGAAGAAGCCTATACTTCAGTCATGGTATGCAAGGTTACTGGAAAATACAGCTTTTTAAATTCTGCTGACAGAACAATGTGATTCTTTATAAAATACAAATGTAACTAAAGCAAATGCCTAGAAGTTTGAAGTACTGAAAAGTGCTTTAAAATATTTTGGCAGCAAGCCATAAAGAAAATAAAATAGGGTAATAGTTGCACCTTGAGATACCTGTGAGATGGAAAAAGATTATGGATAGAAGTATTTGTCTACGATCTAACGTACAAAGTACAAGGAATATACAGTTCATCTCTCTGTCTTTTATAGTCTCATAAATAGGGACATTGAGTAGCTGATGAATATTCTTCTATGGGTAACAAGGAATAAAT